GTAAGCTCAACCGGAGGGTACCATTGAGTATGTAGCCAATTGCTACTTTATTAAAGCCTGACTGACTCAGAAATCTCTATGGCAGATCCTCCTACATCTAGCTAGACTAGCAGAACCAGCTAAGCTGTAGCCCAACTAAAAAGGACCAAACGTTATTAATCGATTTATACGTTGTCCGATAAATATTAATATATCATATAGGCCTTGTAATTTTTTCACAAGTGTCAATAATAAAGTCCTTATTACAGTCATACACAGTGGTGTAAATGCCTTCTTAATTGTACGAACAAGCATTAAGCACGCTGAAAAACTTCCATGTTCTCTTCCCCCATCAACCTAGAACCTGAGTAACTACCATTGATTAAAACAGCAGCATTGTCCCTACTTTAAGATTGACATCCATTTATAATCTAAAAATACTATTTTATGTTTATTATTAATAGGAGTGGGTGTGGAAAGGAAATCACTTCCTAATTTAAAATAAAATATTTTCTTGCTTGCTTTTGATAGCAATGAGTAGGGGTGTGCGATAGACTTATCTCCACGTGGTGCACCCTGGGCAACGTATACTCATACGGCAAAATAGTCTATAAACTGGCAATTGACTTCTGACCTCATACTGCAATGGCCCCACTGAATGTCATATTCGACCACTTCCATAGTACTCACCTCTCCTTTTTCTCTGCTCTTGTGCCTGTCTGTCCCTTTTACATCTTTGAATCTCTCTTCTGTTCCCTCTCCCGAATATTTCTCACTTTGATGTTCCTCCTCACCTCTCTGTGAAGCCCAAATTCAACTAAAGGGCTAATGAGATTATCAAAACGCCTGCCATTTGATATAAATAAATAGCCTTGAGTGTGGAGATAGCGTGAGAGTAAGAGATTTGTTTAGTATGCTTAGAGTACTCCAATATTCAATTGAAAAGTGATGCGTGACGATCTTTCACAGTCAATCCAATTAAAGTATCGGTCCAAAAGTTGATATTTAACCAATAACTTTTGCAAGGAGGCAAAATTTGAGTCAATTCTAAGGAATTATTCTCCCAGAAACCCTAGCCCTAACCCTCTTTGAGCATCCTCCTAAATTAAGTGACTTTTCACTTTAGCTCTGCCAGTACAATATTTTTTGAATTCTTCAGAACCCAATATTTGGCATTTATTAAGTCCACACTACTTTATAGCCATTTAGTTAACAGATTGATTTAGGATCGAGGTGAGGGTGGAATTGGCAGCTGTTCATATGTATCAGTCATCTTTGGGTCTAGGTATTCGTCGTTATCAATGTCTTCATAGATGCCTTTGCTTTCCATCACGCCAAATTTTTCGCTTTCAAGTGGCGTAAGAGGAAGCTGACTTTGCTTGGAAGCACATACGCGATCTAGATAAAAATAATTAAGTAAAATTTCAAGTACTTACAATACTTTCTTCCATTAATTGTATCTCCAGTCTTGACAAGGGTACTAGATGAAGGTGAACTGCCTTGACAGTTCTCAGGATCAACATTGTGTCTGCTGTAAACGCAAAGGGGTCTAGTAAAAGAATATAAATTTTGAAATCATTTCGGGATGCGAAAGTAACTGCCTCAATATAAGCTACAATTCATGAATCTGTTAAATCGAAATAGCCCCAGATTGACTCAAAAATGAGACAACCAGAGTGTCACTCAAAGTAAATCCTATTTTAGCTTTACGCACAACTCAGTTGCAATTTCTGAAACACCTTCTTCAATGCACTACTGCGAGATCTCAACTTCCGTTTATCTAGTTTGAAAAAAATTGATTTTAAAATCTAACTCGATCAGACGCCAAAAGTTGCTTTACTCAGGATTTATCTTAGTCAATCATCTTTTAGTGTCCAAGTTAGGTGAGAAAGATGGGATTTCTCTTTCTGTTTCTGGTGTGAGCCATTTTGTTTTAATCTGGAGCAAATATTGTACCTTTGATATCTCCATCGTGGGTCTCTGGCGTGTTATCATATTGTTAGTTGCGTGGCTATTAGAATAAGATCTATTCGTGCATTATTTCAAGCATCGTTTTAAGAGGAAAAAAATTTTGAAATCTGTATGTCTTCGGATTTTAACATAGGGCAGTGAAGTTAAATAACCCTGAAGACCAGACTAAATAGGACTTTAGTAAAATTCCAATTTCAGATGTTTTACACACGAAAGTATTCCAACCGGAGCATTCATGATTAGGCATATTGACGATTCGTAATACAGTGGTTCATATTTTGTTACTTAGGTAACTGCCTAATAGCCAAGGCTTATTATTCAATCAATAAGAAATTAAAGTGAATACAAATGCACCGTCTTTTGTCTTAGTTTCCACAAAAACTAGTTTCACAACCGTCTACGCTCCAGCCTCTACTGACCTACCCCACAGTTGGACGATGCAGTCAGCTCCCCTCTATCTTCATTTACAGCCGACGTCTTCTCTTTCGTAACCCTCTCCCTCCAACTCTATTAGAAGTCATCTCCCCACCTCCCTCCCTACCCCTCCTTTATAACTCGCCAACTCCATTATTACTTTTGTAACATCTGCCGACTTTCTCATAGTTCTTTCATTCCTCATCAATCAGGTGTGGATCATTTTGTTGTGGTAAGCTCTTACCTCTCGTCACAAAAAACGCTTTCTCAACTTTCAAAAAATGTACACTAACATATCCAATGATCGTTTCTTTTGTTGCTGTAGGCAAATATAACAGAGAATATTTTGAAATCGACACCTCCTGCACAATTAGAATTAATTGCACATTAAACTGGACACATTTTTTGTGATAAAAATCAGTGAATGTCACTAACTTTGCCTTCTGTCTTCGATAAAATACACAAATGAGAATTGCAATTCCACCGAGCAGGCAGAGCGGAAACACAGTCGCCCCAATTACGAGTTGAGTCTAAATATTTTTGTTAATAAATAGCACTTAATTGAAATATACGTAGATATATAATATTAAATAAGTACATTACATTAATAAAGGTATAAGCAACTCACAGCGTTGACTTCTACTGGCGGGGTTACTAAGAGGGCGAAAAAAAAATTAAAATGAAATATTTTTAAATTAAAATGTAAACAAAACTATATTTTAACGCATTTGATCATAAAATCTTTTTAAAATGCTTAAAATTTTTTTTAAAAGCTATTTTCAGGCCCATTGGCTGATCGTTGCTTCTATTAAGTTCAGATCCTGTTAGATCACTACATAGGAAATAAAGAGAAGCCAAGTTGGCAAGATCAACAGTCTCATCCAAACCACCATTAGTAGGATAAGGGGTAAATCAGTAGTTCTGGAGTTAAGCAACTCACTAGAACTCTAGAACCTGGCGCGTTGAATATTCCAATACTAATTACATTAATTAATTAATTAATTCGATTGCAGTTGCAGCTTTGCTGCGAACAAATGTAGAACTTTCTGCACTGTTGGGAGTTAGAATTAAATTGCGTGGGAAGTCTATGTAAAATTTTGTAATGAGAATATGAGTTTCGAATTACTACAAATTTATGGGCTTTCGAACAAGTATCAAAAAATGACACTTTTGAAGTATACTCCTTGACTGAACGCAGCATGTGCAATTCCACTGATTTAACTATTTGGAATTTGCCTCATCTTTGTCGCTATGAGACTGCAAGCAGAAAATAATGCCTTCTCAAGAATTGAAGGAAAAAAGGAAGATTTGAAGCTCATGGCCAAAGTTTTAATTAAGATGATGGCAGTCGGGAGCAGCGAACATTACAAACATAAATTTTCAAAAATTTAAATAATTATTTATTTAAATAGTTTTATTGAAATGACTACCTGGATCACCAAAACTGCAATCCGGTCCATGATATCCTTCGAAACATTTACAGAAGGCTTTTCCGGATCTGTAAGTGGTTACAGAGGTCAGTTTATTTCAGTGTTGAGGATTCGTGGAGCTAATATCACAAATTTTGCCAAATTGGTGATTAAGGGGAGTAATCAATATGCTGAGACAGTAGCAGGAGGTTCAAAAAAATGTATGCAGGACATGATGGAATTGATATTTTATTATCACTCTGATTTTCACTTAAATTTTTCTTTGTAATTTAATTTGTTCTTCTGGATCCGATGCAAAGGTTTGAAAGTAGTACTTTGAAAAGCTTCAGTACTAAGAGATTATAGGCAGATAAACTGAGAGTTGGGGAAGGGGATGGGAAAGGTTGGGGGTGATAGAATTTTCAATGTTTCCCACCTTTCAGATAAACAATGAGTGTAACTTGTTAAGATCTACTTAAAAACGAAATCATATTCTAATAAGCAACCTTTGAAAACATTTAGTAGTCAAATACTCAGTTTTATTTGCGTAAAACTGGGAAGAATTTCGATTTCTTAAACCTCCGGAATTGTCTAAATCGGTCCTTTTACCTTTATAACCTCAGCCACTTCAGATTTTATATAGGTGCCTTATCTTATGAGTCCACTTTGAGAGTATATTGATCAATTTCGGTAAGCAATGGGGTGGGTGAGTCTCTGGTATCTCCGTCCTCTCGATACCCAACCTCTTTACTTGTGACCCTGTATGGTGTTCACTAACCCCCCCCCCCCCCCCCCCCCCCCCCACCCTCCCACTACTTTGTAATACGACGCCCACTTTCACTGAGCTCTAGTCATCTCTGCTCAGCTGAGGTATAAGGTTGTTCCAAGCTGAGCTCTACTCCAATTCAGTCAAGCCAACAACAATTTAGAAGGTGGAAATATGTTCTGTTGAAAACTTTGAGGTAGGCAATAAAGTTCTTTGCCTGTCCATGGTAGGCAACATCGATCAGTTTTTAATCAATGTATGCATGATCTAGATTTGTCATCAGAATAACTTTATATGGAATTTGCTATTAAATTAACGATGCGGTGATAAAAAAAGCATAATTTGTTTGTGGGCGTATAAATTTATGAAATATTCCTATGCTAGTTTATCGTGGCCATCGTGACAACATGTTCCACAAGTCGGGCATGCTTTTGATGTGGATAACATGAAAGCAATCAGGAATTTTTGCATCACATTCCTATCTTAGCTCAAATATTTCCTTTATTTTTTGCATTAAGGAATTTTAGTTAAGTTTTGTTATTCGCAATAATAGCAAATCAAAGTTTATTAAGAATTTGCCTTCAGTTTGTTAGGTAAACCTACTTTTAATTCTTCAGTAGCAAAGGTCTTGGTACCTTTTTAACTACCTTCAATTAATTGGAGTGTGTGATAGACTTACCTCCACGTGGGGCACCCCGGGCAATGTATACTCATACGGCAAAAAGTCTGTTAACTGGCGGTTGACTTCTCACTTCAAACTGCAATGGCCCCACTGTATGTCATATTCGACCACTTCCACAGTACTCACCTCTCCTTTTTCTCTGCCCTTGTGTCTAGCTATTTTACATCTTTGAAACACTCTTCTATTCCCACCCCTCTCTCGACTTTTTTCCACTTTGATGTTCCTTCCCCTCTGTAAGGCCCAAAATCAGCTAAATGACTAATGATAACTATCATAACGCCTGCCATTTGAAATAAATAAATTAACCTCCAAATCATTCAGTTTATAAGTCTGTTCAAGTTGGTAAATTTCATGTATGCTGAAAATTTCTTCATACTATCCAATTATTTTGGGCATTTCTACTATACAAGCTAACGTCTTCACTGTTCTACATAGTACAGTCGTCATGAAAACGTCCCTTATCACCTTACCTCGTTTGAGATTGCGGTGGGAAAGAGATAAATTTGAAAGTTTCAATATTTTCAGCCTTATTTCGACAATTTAGTTACTGGAATATCATAATCAGCATTTAATTCATAAAAAAACCTAATTTTTCTTACTCTGTAACGACACAATTACCACGATTGCATGGAAGTGTGCAGATACGCGCTCCTGTTTTAGGATGGCACGACCAATCAGGTTCTGGCGTGCATTCCACTTCACATCGAGGTCCATAAAATCCCTTTAGACAGAAAAGTCCAAAGTTCAATGTTAATCTAGGTTAAAAATTAGAAAAAATGGCAGCGTTTATTTATGAAGCTGATTCTATTGATTGGAATATAAGTTACTGAATTAATAAAGTGTAAGTTGATTGGTTTGATATCGAGGGGTGGGGGGAGGGGGAGCAGTGAAAGGTGGAATCAGCATACTTAGACAACCAATTAACAAGAATTGAGTATGGTGGACAAAGAGTTGATGATAAATCCAGTCGACGAATGACAAAATTTGAATTTGGAAAGTGAATCCAGAAATCAGATGCGACAAGTCACCTTATTACTCTGGCAAGCTACTCAAGGTTTTTTAGATGTTCTTCCGCCCCCCTTACTCCACTTACTATCTATATATGGTTCAGGTACTGATCTCCACTGACTAGTTAAAATACTTTTTGCCTAGTAATGAAAATGTGCATGTGGATCGTTCACCTAGTGCCCTCTAACTTCATTAAATTTCATGCAGTTCCTCAATTTTGGGTGCGATAGACTTACCTCCACGTGGTGCACTCCGGGCAACGTATTCTCATACGCCAAAAAGTCTATAAACAGGCAGTTGACTTCTGACTTCAAATTGCCATGACCCCACTGTATGTCCTATTCGACCACTTTCACAGTACAATATTGCCTTTTCTCTGCCTATGTGTCTGTCTGTCTCTTTTACATCTTTGAATCACTCTCCTGTTCCCCCTCTCCACTTTTTCTCACTTTGATATTCCTCCTCCTCTCTGTAAAGCCCAAACATAAGCTTTCGTCCTTTTTTTCATACATGTTCATTTAAAAGTCTGAGCTGGGCAAAGTGGTGTCTTTAACTCGTGTGAAAGGGTTTTGAGTAAATTAACCAAAAAGACCTTCCATTTAAGATTACTAAAATGTCAAAATTGATCAATCCCACATTTGTAATAAGTTACAAGTCTGCGTAACAAGCAGTTGAAGTTTCGCAGTGGCGTGACTGTTACTAAGCGTCTACGGCACAACGTTTAGAGTGTTTAATGGCGGAATAAGTGATTAAAAGTTCAATGGCCTTCAGTAAGCACCCAGTTAGCAGAAATACCAACGTCACGGACAAGTCTGGAACTGTAGAATTCCAGTTCTCGTAAGGTTAGCCCAAGAGGAGCGTCGGCAGGCTTCCAAGTGGGCACAAGAGTCACTGATTTACTCGCCTAAAATAATAATTCCGGATAGTTTTTACAATCTTGCCATTTCAAACTCAAATTCATCATCATCAGATATTCATCATGCACAAAGTTCACATTTATTTAATATTAGGCAAATAATGTAAAATAATGGGTGATTAATGGAAATCGTAATAATCCCACTTCTGTGATTTCAACAAGGAATCCCATGATACCCCTACTCAAATCCAATTAAAAAACTGGTGTTCGCTGTTGTTTTCAAGAAATTAGAGTGAATTCGAAAGTGTGAGTGTGGGGTGTGAAATAGACTCACCTCCACGTGGTGCACCTTGGGCAACGTATACTCATACGACAAAATGTCTGTAAATCGGTAGTTGACTTCTCACTCCAAACTACCATCACCCCTATGCATGTCATATTCGGCTGCTTCCACATTACTCACCTCACCCTTTTCTACCTTTTCAAACTTCGTCTTCGAAACACTCTCCTGTTCCCCCTCCTCTCGACTTCTTTTCACTTTGATGTTCCTTCCCCTCTGTAAAGCTTGAAGTCAACTAAAGGGCTGATGATTGCTATCATAAAGCCTTCCATTCGATATAAATAAATAAAGTGTGAGTGGTAAAACTAAGCATTTGTCCCGTTTTTTCAGAAGCATATTGTTTATTCATTGCAAAGAGACAGGGAGTGGGGTGGCGTGATGTGTGATTTTCGATATTGTGCAGATATGTTTCAAAAACACGCATGCATGAAATGCAGTGATTGAACAAATGAAGGCTCTTGGACTTGAAGGCATCACTGACCGTGTTAACTGGTATTCCAAACTCTACGGACCCAGCCTTCGCAAAGTTAGAAGAATGCGAAAGCAGCTGAAGAATATTTAATTTGAAAAAGAATATGCACAAATCGGTAATTGGTTAACTAATCTCCGATGTTGTATGTGGCAGCATATTCAATAAACAGTCCATAAGCCGGTAATTCAGTCGTGCAGAGGGTTATGTGTTAAGAGTGAATCTCCGTTGTTTCCTCTTACTTACACGCTTCACTTTATCAACTGATGTCGATACAACCTCCAGTCTCTGATTTGGCCAAAGTAAACAGTGAGATCTAAACTAATCCATATTTGAATGCTTATCAAAATGCCGGCAGTCTCTCAAAGAACATGTGTTAGCATCCTCCAGTCAATAGGAATCTTGTCCATGTCACCACTATCCTTAACTTTCTTACATCATTTCGTCCCAAAGACTCCACCCAAGCTGGCTACGTCACGCCCTCAGTTACTACATTTGGTGAAACATGCTACCCCCCCCCCCCCCTCCCCCCCCCCCCCCCAAATTGAAAAGTACACTGTTACCAAATGTGAAATTAAGAGGCTTTTGTTTCAATCAATAAGAGCATATTAATCGAAGCAGAATTTCTGCTTCAAAACCTACTCTAAACTTGCCTTATATTTTCCTCAAGTTTGATTTTCTGGTCAGTTGTGGAATTAACAAGGAATTTATAATGAAATTCGCCAATAAGCACTTTCCCCTTGGCATCAATATCGTTTACTTCTATTGTGAAATCGATTTCCCTCTAAAAGGCGAACATTTATTATCATGAAAAATGAAATTTTCGAAGAAACCTTTGTTTTGCTTACCGGTAATGTATCAAATTCTCCTCTGGTTGAGTAAACCGAATGGATATCTTTTGAATTTTCGAAAGCTGGTGTGATGTGTGAAATTATTGTTTTGTAACGCTCACTGAAATTGATGAAAAAATGAATTATTTCAATAATTTAGAAGATATTATTTAACTTTCTCTGGTTTTCTAAATGCCACAAGAAATATTTCACATGTGATTATTTGCAGAAGCAGTGGTATTTTACGAGTGCAAAAAAATCAATAAAAACGTTCGCCCATCACGAATCGAAGGGGAAATGTGTGAGGCAAAATGATACTCATGTAAACAGTACATAATCATCATCTCGAATTCCCAATCAACTTCATATGACATTATTTTCTAAATTCTTCTAACTATTTCCTTTCCCATTAAAATGACCTTTATTGGTCTCAGGCATGACGGGGTTAATTAGGAGTTTTCTCCTGAAATCAGCCCTCAACAAAATAAAACATCAAGTAATAACAATAACTTACGGCCCCCAATGACCGTTGACAGTGATCGTGAATTGAGGATCACACAAATCCAACCAATGAAAAAGGTTATGATCACATCTCAGTCCTCGATATGTCTTATCAGTGGGATTCGAATAATCTGTCAATGAGATATAGACACCGACTGCTTTCTAAATATATGGAAAAATTATATAAACAAAGATATTTTATAATTTTTATTTGCTAAAAATTGCTGGAAAGTACCAAAACTTAAAAAAGTTAATTATTCAAGTCCAAAATAACATCTCAGTGTAAAATATTAAAATTTGTAATAATTTCCTAATCGAATTAATTAAAATATTATAATTGGCTTAAATTTATTAAATTGTATTTTAAATGTTAAATATCATAAAACTGGCTCTTGAAATTTGCTGGATTGTTGAAAAAACGGGCAATTCAAATGGATTGGTTTATATTTTTATCTTGTTATCACCTTAGAAAATTTCATAACTTAATTAATTGACTTTGTCAAGTATATGTGTGCATCGTACGTATTTACAGCTATGCGTTTTCAGCGGAGACCTATTTCATTGCAGATATTTAATTTAAAATTAAAAGTAAATCCACTGGTAACATACCTTTGAATAAGAAGGATATGCGAGTGGTGCGAAGCATAGCCATAGAACGAGCCACATAATAATTTGTGAAGTGGTTGTGAGGAATATTTATACGTCCTCTTGTTTTGTTTATCTAAAGTGCTGTTGCCGTTGGTCATTTAATACCAACGACCATAAGCTGTGAAAATTCTTGCCATCGTTGACATTTGGTGTTTCGCAGAGATGCCAAGACACTACTAATTAGATTACTTGTCGCTCCTATCGTGCATTACTAATAGTTCAATATAATTAAAGCTTACATGCAGCATATGAATAAAGGAGTTGCTTTCAAAGTCTTGGGCATTGAAGAGAGAAATCTTCTTCATAAGGATGTTTCTGAGCTTCTTCTTTCTCTTAAAATGGTGAATGCGGCAAATTTGAATCGTTACAGAGGTAACCATTGGCTTTTCCAAGCAAATTATTTTATGCAAACTTTCGAAGAGTTAAGATATAGTTAGTATAAAATATGGACGTTTTCTTAGTGTTAATGGGATAGTTCTCACCTAATGAAAACTTCCATTTTCAAAACAAAACCTTTTAAGAACTTATTTCTAATATTTAAGCCCACTGTGAAAGAACTCAGGTTTAAATCAGCGATTCTTATTTAACTTTGCTGTTGAGAGTTACAAATGGATTAAGGAGGTATTCTAGTCTAGAAAATAAATTTCGAATTTTTTGCATAATTTCATAGTTTGACTATTTAAGAATAATTCTACGAGAGGATTTTCCAAAATTCTAATTAGTTTCGGAGATATTAGTATATTGCTGAGCAGGCATTCAAATCGGTTCGGCTGCAACTAATCGGACAAAAGACATAATGGGTTCTCCGACTACCTGAATCCATATTTCTTAGTAAGCCCTTTTGTTCCGTTATATCCATAAATATTTGGCCACGCACCATATTTTTGAGACGCCCCACTCCATCAGCTGATAACTAACAAAATTTGAAATTTTTTAATTTTTTATTTTTTTGTGTGCTTCTGTGAATAAATAATGTGTACAAATTGATAATAAAAATTTTGCTTCCTTTTTTACAACACTTCAAAATGACTTAAAATTCATGTCTCTAGGTGCTAGCTTCAATTATTCATCAAAATCCACAAGGTAACAAGCTCTCAATTGCGGATAAATGAGACCACACGAGAAAAATAAATAGACAGTCTTTGGGGTTAACAAATATTACAATGTGAATTTTTTCTCTTTTTGACAAGTAGACAACTCACTGTCTCTAGAATTCAAATTAGGTTAGAATTGTGGTGTTCTCTCTTCATTGGGACTGTTTTACTATTTGAAATATCCAGGGCACGAGAGTGTCCGCAGGCTCTCGGGGCGTGTGATAGACTTACCTCCACGTGGTGCACCCTGGGCAACGTATACTCAT